ATAAAATTTTAAATTCCGCTGTAAACTCTGTTCCGTACGGTATATCGAACCCAACAACAGACAAAATGGAGTTACTCTTTTTTTTTTCATTTTCTTTGTGTTTGGTCCGATCCTCTAAGTCTTTCTATCTTTTTTTCTTCATCCACTTTTCACTATGGCCACATTATTAATTTTGGTTAATGAAGGTCATTATGGGAAAAAAATAACCCTTAATTATTGTGCAAAAGCCAAAACGACAATTAATAGGAAATGGAGGGAGTATAAAATAAAAGTATGGAATCAATATATATACAATTTACCTATATTAATTTATTTAAACTGTTATATGAATTATATTGTGGAAAATTACATAAAACATGTCTATTTAGAATTAGTACAAAACGCGTACATTGCACATAACTGATAATTAATTACATTACATTCATTTCAAAATAAGTGTCATTTTAATATTTTTATTCAGAAATTCAATTTGAATACAATGCGGTTCCCTAAAATAATTATTTTGGTAAAATTTTATCATATATTTAAAAATCTATGTGAATAATAAGTATGAATAAATAATTGACTATTCTATTTACGTCTAAATTAATATTGACACATAAGTTATGAACAATTACTTATTTGTATTTTAAATTTAAAACCCAAATTTAGACTAGACAATAAATCCTCTTATATGTTTTATATATATCTATATTTTACTAATCACGAATTTTTCTACATTTTTTTCAATTATCTTGTCATTCAAATTATCAACTAATTCTCTATAATTAAATTACAAATTTTAGATTTTATTAACAAATATTTGTTCTAAGATCTTTCTATATTTCAAGAGGAATACATACCATTTTGTCAAATTATCATCAATATTTTATGGCAAGTTATTATGAAAATTATGCTAAAATTTGATAATCATATCACCTTGATTTTATAACAGATCAACCTAAAATTCGACTTTCATACTCATACTAAATAAAATTCATTATTCAATTGGGATTTCTGAAGACTTTTTAAGACTTTAGAAATCATGATAAATTCAATTTAGATTTGTTAAGACTTTTAAAAGTCTTTGGGTATTCAATTGGGATTTTAAAAAGTCTTACAAAATTCTTAAGTATTTAATTTATTTGACACTAGGATTTGTTAAGACTTTTTAAGATTTTGTGAGATTTTTAAAGAAAAAACCTTATACAAAATCATTGTTCAAATCCACCTTCAGACTAAGGGGGATGTATTCTTTTAAGAATCCTTAAGACTTCAGGATTAATGAGATATGTGTGTATTTAAATGAGACTTCTTAAGAATTTAAAAAATCTAGAGATATTCAATTAGGATTTTCAATGACTTTTGAAAAGCCTCTAAAACTACATAGGTATTCAATCTGGACTTTTTAAAGTCTCATAGAATCAAAAGATATTCATTTACTTTTCAATTCTTTTGGATTTGTCATTTATTTGGATTTAGAGAGATTTTAGTAGGAAAATATATACACTAAATCCCATTACAAAATGCTCCCACATCTCTCTAGCTTTCTCTCTCTCTAAAACCCTAACCCAATCTTCCCAACCATCCCTAGCTTTTCTGATCATCTCCATCTCCTTGCCGGTGCCCGTCGTCGCCGGCGGCGAGCCGCCTGGCCCCGTGGGGTCTGGCCCCACCTTTCATTTCCCCCACCGTACCCTCCCTCTACCCCCCATTTTCTCCATGGCTGCCTCTACAACCCAGATCCCGTCCACCA